ATTATAGGGTTAATAAAGGTATATAAAGCGTATATTATACATATATAATGCGTTTAGATATAGTCTAATAAACGTATATGAAGCGTTTAGATTTAGTCTAAATAAACGTTAAGATCTAATTCAATAAACGAATTTAAGGGTATAAATTATTATAATTCTAGACGCTTATTTCTAGACTAATAAACATATATATATGTTTACTAGGCTAGATCGAAGCGAATAATATAAGTTGAATTATACTAAATTTAAACACTTTACATTCGCTTATTAGAATAGATCTTAACGTTTAATATATATATATATTAATAATCTTATATACTTATCTTAAATAAACAAATATTTTGTATACTTTTGTAACTATTTACAACTTTTTTACTATATTCCTTTTATACTATATATACCTATTATAAAGTTATGTAAAACCCTATAGTTGAGATTTATCACATAAATGGCGGGGGGAGAAGGGGTGGGGGAAGAGGAGGAAGGAAGGAATTTTCTCAATAATTTTAAAAAATTTAATCATTTTATCTTAGCACTAGCAATATTACAGTGACGTTAAATCCGTATAAAAAAGTCTATTTTATTCTGGTTTATGCTTTCTCAAAAATCTTTCAAGTATATCGTCCAACGCATGTTCATCGTGCACCGGTACTTGTTCATCATGCGCCCGCTCTTTGTTATTGGGCGCCGGTTCTTGATCAACATCATCATTCATACTCGTCTCCTGGTCGTCTTCCTCTACATTTTGATCATCATTTATAACGTTTTCTTTATTCTCAAAGATGTTTTTTTTTGGTCCTCCTATCCGCCATGAGGCCTGTTTTAAATATGCGGCTATAGCATTATGTGCTTGAGCTACAGACATATTGGGGAAATTGTACATTATAGAATCTAAAAAAAAAATTAACGAAGTTAATAATAAATCCATTATAAAACTTTTTACCCTCAGAATATATAAGCAACCAAACCAGTCTGAAAATAGACTATAAATAGTCTATTTTTATAACAGCAAAAAAACTGGGTTATAATAATTTGCATTTAAAATATGTGTTCAACATTAAAAAAAAAAAAAAAACATTAAAAAATCAACATTGGAATTACCAACAACAACTTTACATATAGAGGATCTTCTGAATGGAACTTTCCCCAAATTTCCTCGACCATCCATGTTCATTTGTGACATCAAAGAATTTGTAAAAAGTCGCGACATAATATACGCAGTAGTCTTTCCCAGATCTGATCCACCAATTTTCTTTAGCAAATGTAACTAAAATTAAAAAAATTAAAGTCAATTCTTGATTATGGCAAAGTCGAATAGCTATTTTTATACAATCATTATAAGTTTATAAAACTTACCAAAAGAGTACTTGCAGCAGGACTTTCACAACAAAAAGCCAACGACTTGTATTGTTCAACTGTGTCAATGGGGCCATCACTAATTTCCAAAGAGTCCATTGAGTTGTTAGCACTTAGTAAAGCAGCTGGCATCGATTGTCGCTCAAGGAGCTTTTTAACTTCCAAGATTTCTATGGTGAGTTGTGACAGTTTGAAGAGAACTGACTTCTGGAATTCTGAAATTCAGTTAAGCTATTAAAAGCATCATATCTTGAAAATATAAGTTAATAAAATTCGATCTATGCAAATAATTACAATATATAGTTCAATACAATTTTATTTATTACATTAAAACATTATTTTAATCCATATTTAAAAATAATTTTTTACTTACTTGCATTTAATGGATCGGTGCTTTTACTTACTTCATTGGATGCACTATTTCTTGATTTCACTGTAGAAGAATCACTAGCTACTGTTTTTAGTGATCTGACGGTGCGGACGGACTTGGGTATTGACCTTATCAGTTGGTTTGATGGTGTTGACGTGACTGGAATTGGCAGACGTGACTGGGTAGATTTTGGTGTTGACCTGATTGATATGTTTGATGCAGCTAACAGAAAACATGATTGGCTAGGTTTTTTGGATACAACTAGGTTATGTATTGTTGAAGGTAGTTGTGACTGAGAGGTTTTAATGCTTGATGTAAGCTTTGGATGAGCAAGAAAACTTTGACAGACTGAATTAGTGGTAGATTTAATTTGTCTACAATGTAAACGTGAACTTAGTTCGCTGAGCGCTTTTGGAGGAGTGGGGAACTTGGACAACTCTTCTAAAACAACAACAAAATATAACTTTTGAGTAAACTGTTGCAAAGGACTTTCATTTTGACAACACAACAAACTAAAACTAATTATTATTTCTTTAATGGTAATGACAAAAAGATTGACATCACTTATTCAATAGACTATTAAAATTGTAAAAGCTAAAACAAAACATTCTTAATCAGATATAAAACCTCACCATTGGAATCGTGTGGATAATTGTTGTCATCACTATCTAAAATATGAAAAAGTGATACTAAGCATTTTAAAGAATGAATAAAAAGCGTTTTAAAACAAAGACTTTTTTATGAAAGGGATCCCTAAGCACTATTAAAATATGATTTCATATTAAAAAACTTATAATTCTCGCTAAAACATAATAAAAGTGTATATATTAATGAATTTGTTTTCAAAAATGATTATAAATTATAAACTAAGATAATTCTAAACTAGAAAACAAAAATTAGTTTTTTGATATTGTCAAGATTATTATTATACTATATTTCGTGTATATAAAGACCACAAACTTTCCTTCAGTTTAATAAATATTTTTTAGAAATTGCACTAAATTTTAAGATTTCCATAAGTTCTAATTAAACTATTACTACATTTAAATTTTATTACTATTTTTTCTAACAAATTTTTACTTTCTAAACAATAAATAAAAATGTTAGTAGATATTCAGAAGTTGTTAAAGCTTGCCATTTATATAAATAATTGAGTTTTGATATGAAATATTTACGATTACAGTTACATTTAAAACAGCGTAGTTTTAAAGTGATATTGGCAAATATTTTTTGTTAGTATGAATTTATTATTACAATTTATTAATATATATATACTTATATATATATATATATATATATATATATATATATATATAAGTATAAATATATATATATATATATATATATATATATATATATATATATATATATATATCCCTTGCTTTTTAATTTTAAATAAGATGTCAGGAGTATTTGGAGATCCCTTTAAGAACTTGTAAACCACAATAACTCCACTCTTATCATCATTATACTAGTATTAAGTCTTATTAAATGTTTTGTGTATTAAATTTTAAATATAAATAATTTAAATAATATAATAAATAAATAAAAATATAAATAATTTAAAATCACTGTCC